AGTCCATCACAGCGTAGAAAAACCATCAGCCATGTCAAAGAGATGATCTAGTTCCTCGAATACTTGGATGTCACCATCCAGATATATCATCTTGCTGTACTCAACAAACTGCAAACTTCCCACCCGTCAAACACTAGTGATAAAAAAGTTACCGCAAACAATAGTTTTACGAGAAAGACATGACATGCAATTGTATTACAATACGTACCTCCCAAATACGAAGCTTGGAGTAGTTGATGACATAATACGCCATGGCGAACTGAGTCTGATTCTGAGGAGGATACACAGGCTCGATCTCTCTCACAATACAACCTTGATCCACCAGAATCTTCCTGTGCTCTTCAGGAACGTCTGGCAGAATCGCAACGACAAGAGGGTAACTGCTCTTTACCTTCCTCAACCCTTTGGCCAACCCCACCACTCCCTTCCAATAGTCCCCGTTACCTGCCAAGAACGTCACATATGCACGGCTTGACAGGCTTGGAGCCTTTGAGAGAGAGGTGGTCTTGGTCACAGTAGTGGTGGTGGTGACATTAGGGGCCATTTTTAAATTCAAGAAAGGAAATGTGTGTAATCAGAAGATGAGAAAATAAGTGTTTGGAAGGAAAGAAAAAGCTTTGAAAGATTGAAAGTCTTTTAAGGTTTTGATATTCGCTTTGAGTTGTTGAAGCAAAGCGTGATGGTGGTAGATTTATATAGGAGTTTGGGTGGGTGTAATGGTAATTTAATAAAATGCGGATTTATCTTGGTGTTGGAGCTAGGAAGGGGGAAGAATTTGGTGGAAGACGACGTCATTTTGATATGGTTTTTTTAACGTTAAACGTTGTCGTTCTAGGGACTTGAATTAGTGGTTAGTGAGGTTGACTGCTGGTACTTAATATTGAATATGTTAATCTTCTCCTATAGAAATCGGACACTACGTGTGGCATTAATTTGATCTAACGGTTAAGGAGAGAATTCTGGATTTGGACGGTGCAGGAAAGAGGAAAATATAATTATTTTAATGTAGCATAGAATATCCTGATTCTGGAAGCTACACAATCTTCAGAATACAGAAACACCCTTCTCTCTTCTATAAACTACAACTTTATTTACTATAACAGGTGTTATTTTACACAAGTACAGGGTCATTTTTTGACCGCTCAAAGAGAATAAAACCTGAAAAGAAAATAAAAAATGGTAAAGTGTGAATAATTAATTAATTAACATACACCGACGGAACCCAACCCCACACCACACCCAGCGGGCCCTACAAATTTTAACACTTTTGTCACGCGGTTTCACAACATGTACTTACAAAAGAGTGGCACGTGGCAACTCCCAAGAGGTGGGAGGAGTAGGTCAGATGGGGCCGCCACGTTTCACCATGCATTTGGGTTCCTGGGAAGAAGCTTGGTTAATATTAGTTATGTTTGTTGGGCATATGAATCGCCAATTTGGTTGAAAATGTTGGACAAACCCAATATTTGCAAATTATAGACAAATTTATGAACTATTAATTTTATTCTTTAATTCAATAATTTACAAATTTATGAAATTGTCATTTTACTCTTTTAAGCTTAGTTAATTTATGAATTTATCTCAAATGCATGTGCTATGAAACATTATTCTAATCAAGGAACTGGCTTCTGATATCTTGGTTAATGAAATAACAATAAAACACCTTGAAAAACATGTTTGATAATATATTGTTCGTTAAAAAAATTGATTGACGTAGATTCTGATAATGATGTTAACGATATATCTCAATTGAACAGTATGTGTGCACATATGCTTTTGGCAGCATCGTAAACCATTAAAAGTGTTGATTTTTAACAATGATAATAGAATATCAAATTTGGTTGCTTATTGCTTAATGTAACACTTAACTGAAATGTTGCATGAAGAACTGAGTCTTATAGAGTGGGAATTGGCTCGGCAGCTAAAGAAAAATTTCGAGATACATAAAGTATATAATTAATGAATGGTCGTATACACAATCGAATAAATTTTGTTTCAAATAATACAGAAGTGTTGTGTTGGTCCTTAAAAAGTTTGGTATCACTCAATTTTTTGTGATTTTTTTAATCTCTTTCGTGTCTTAAATTATCTGTTTTCTTTCTGTTTTTATAGTTTTTTTTATTGTTATTTTGGGATTGATAATAAGGAAGGGAGTTTAAATATTATAAGCTACTCCAGAAAAAGCAAAATAATAATAATCTGCTTTATTACTTACACAAAAAAAGAAATCTGATTTTAAACCAGCAGATGCAGATATGGTTTTAAGAGCAATTAAAATCTTGATCAAGGTCTGCGGCTAAGATAAAGGCACATTTATTGTTCGGGGAGATTTTTGTTGCTTTTGAAAAGGCCAGGGAGGTTATTATTGCTTCCAAATAAGATAATAATATTGCAAATTACCCTTGAATCCTGATGAAGGGAAAGATCATCACAAACATGATCAATTATCCAATACAACTACTAATCATCTATTTGGAAATAATTTCCATTAGGTTAGGCGACAAGTTCATGTACAATAAATTTTACTCCTATACGCAAGAAATATGAAATAGTCCATCACAACGTACAAATAACCATCAGCCCTGTCAAAGAAGAGAGATGGTCAATGCCTTGATGGACTGTTTCTGTGAGAAGATATGGAGCAACACTGTAATAAGGAGCGTGTCTCCATGGCTTCTCACAAAAGCAGTCCATCATAGCGTAGAAATAACCATCAGCCATACCAAAGCTAAGACATGGTTAATGCCTTAATGTGATGGACTGTTTCTGTGAAAAGACATGGACGTTGACTGGCTCTTCACGTTCCTGCCAAGAACGTCACATGTGCACGGCTTGACAGGCTTGGAGGAGGTGAAGAGCAGTTACCCTCTTGTTGTTGCGATTTTGTAGGATATTCCTGAAGAACACAGGAAGATTCTGGTTGATCAAGGTTGTATTGTGAGAGAGATCGAGCATGTTTATCCTCCTCAGAATCAGACTAAGTTTGCCATGGCCTATTATATCATCAACTACTCCAAGCTTCGTATTTGGGAGGTATATATTTATTCTAATCTCATTGCATGTCATGTGTTGCACTTAAAACTATTTGTGCTAACTTTTATCACTAGGGTTTGAGTGGTGGGTAATTTTGCAGACTAGTGTTTTACTGATCGATGTTTTCAAACACTTGGCGAACTGAGTCTGATTCTGAGGAGGATACACGGGCTCGATTTCTCTCACAATACAGCCTTGATCCACCAGAATCTTCCTCTGCTCTTTAGAAACGTCTAGCAAAATCCCAACAACAAGAGGGTAACTACTTTCCACCTTCCTCAACCCTTTGACCAATCCCACCACTCCCTTCCAAAAGTCCCCGTTACCTGCCTAGAACGTCACATATGCACGACTTGACAGGCTTGGAGCCTTGGAAAGAGGGGTGGTCTTGGTGACAGTGGTGGTGGTGGTGGTGGTGATGTTAGGAGCCATATTGAAAAGTTTGAAGAAATGGAACTTTGGAAAATGCTTTGAAAGATTGAAAAAGATTGTTTTTAAGGTTTGAAGATTGCTCTGATTTGAGTTGATGAAGGAGAGGGTGGTTGTGGGGTGTTTATATAGGATTTTGAGTGGCTCTGATTATGTTAAATAATTGTAATTAAATGGTAATTGATTATTCTTGGGGTGGAGGGAGGGAACATGATTATGGTAGAACACGATGTCATCATATATGTTAAATATGGTTTTTTTTTTTTTAAAAGAGTTGACTAAGTCGGAGCTCTCTAGTCGCAAAGAAATCGGACTCTACGTGTGGCATCGAATTGATCTAACGGTTAAGGAGAGAATCTAGCTTGAAACCATCGACCAATCAAACAGTAGTCTGCGAAAATGTTTATGATTAGAGAATTATCCTTTTTGGCTTGGTTTGTTTCAGTTTTGGGAATGTTGGCTCCGTTTGGTTCAAAATTTTGGATTGTTGAAAAAAGTTTTTTGAAAAAGAGTTAATAAAAAGTTAAATTGGGTGGATATTACGATGTAAGAATTATAAATTAATAAAATACTCTCTATGTTTATTTATTTATAAAAATACCCCTATAATAAAACATTAAAAGTTAAAAAAACACCCCCAACCAACCCTTAAATATGGACAGCTGGCCACCACCACCGGAGGGTGGTCGGAGTCACCGTATCGGCGTATGACCGGCTAGATCTTGCCGGTCGTGCGTCGATATGACCTTTTCCGACCAGATTTGGCCGTATTTGCTCGTCAACGACGGCCAACAAACGGTCGTCGTTGATGGTCAATGACGACCGTTTGTTGACCGTCGTTACCGACTGTTACGGTCAAAGATTTGGCCGTCAACGGCCAGATCCACCGTAGATCTGGCCGAAAAAGGCTAGATCGACTCATTACCGGCAAGATTCAGTCGATAGTGTGCCATCCTAACAGATTCCGACCATTTTCTGGCAATGGTGGCCGGAATCTGGTAAATGTGGATTACTGGAGTGTTTTTACAATTTTTAAAAAAATATTTAGGGGTATTTAATTACATTATCAAATTTAAGGGGTTTAAAAAAAATTGAATAATACTTGGAGTAGTATTCCCAAAAATCAGGGCTTCGTTTGGTTCAAAATTTGGGGGTTTTGGGAAAAGTTTTTTGAAAAAAGTTAAAAAAAAGTTTTGAGTATTTTACTGTTTAACTTTTTTGGGAATACTAAAAGTAGTATTCCCAAAACTGAAACAAATGAAGCCTTGATTTTTGGGAATAAACATAGAGGGTATTTTATTAATTTGTAATTCCTACATCGTAATATCCGCCCAATTTAACTTTTTTCAAAAAAATTTCCCAAAAACCCAAAATTTTGAACCAAAAGAGCCTTTATTTTTAATCTCATTGATAACATCATAATGTGGAAAATTAAACTGTAGTCTGTGTATATTAATGAAATAATAGTATGTAGTAATAATATGGACAGTTTGAACGTTAAATTATTACAGTTGTGTAGACTTCATCTGCTAACAACCTTACTTGTTAGAATTTCTAAAGTTATTTTTATATGTCGATAATTTTATAGTTCTCCTTCTCCAGTAGTTCTTCATCTCATTGTCTGTTGTTCTCCCAGGAAAGTATCTTGCAATTGTTGACCACCTGTAACATTCATATATGCATTAATTAATTAAACACATATATAATTTTTTTTTTTTTTTTATCTTTATGTGAGTGAGAGAAGTTACCCCATAAACCATGGAATTCAATAATAATCCCTTCTTCCTGAGGTGTTAATTGCCCTCTCTTGAGTCCAGGTGTTAGATAATTCACCCATCTCAGCCTGCAACTCTTTCCACTCCTATTCAAACCTGAGGACAATTAATTAAAAACAACTCAGAATTATGCTAATTAATTAGACTTGTATAATTAATAAAACAAGTCAAGCTTCCCACTCAAAAAGTATAAATATATTTAATTCATGAAGCCTGAAATTAAGACAAGTTAGCTCCAGTCCTATTGTTTTTTCCTCTCTATACCTATAACAACAATAGTGAAAAACAACTCACAAAGTAACAGTATTCTTGTCAACTGTATGTATATGATGCTAATTATGGATCATATCATATGCTTGAATAATTAAATTTGTAAAGCATGTCAAGTTTCCATTTTGATATCTTCCCACCCAAAAAGTAGAGTTTTTAATTCACCTGGATGCTATAAGAATTATATTAATCATCAACTATTTAATTCACCTCCATCTTCCTTCTCCATGCAAGTAAGTAGCTTATCTTCTTCAGGAGTCCAAGGACCCTTCCTCCAACCTTGTTCTTTTGCTTCCCAACCCATCATTATAATTCACTTTCACTTATATCAATCGAGCTAGCCATGAAACAAGTTGACAAGAACTACCAAACTTTCTGTCAGTTTCATGACAACACTACTGATCCGGGATTGAAGATTACAAGCTGTCACAACAGAAACAGTATAAGAGCATTAGTGATTTGGGAAAGTTGACAACATTGGCTTACGTTTACGGGAATGGTCTCCCTTCAAAGTTCAAACTCACCAACTGCTGCTATCACTGAACATATGCTCCTTCATGCTCAAACTGTAGCATATACCAACTCATTTGTTATCGGCTCTTAGTGGCTTTTTTTTTAATTAGTCTTTGTTAATTTTGTTCATAAAGTAACATATATCATCGATAAAAATATACATTCATGATGATGCTTTGTCAAACTAGGAATTGAGTTTGCTGATTTAGTGTTGAAAATATGTTCTGAGAAGAGACTTTATAGAAACATCACTGAATTGCATGATACATGAGGCCTGGTTACAGAATGCGCAGTGGTAAACTACTTCATTAAGCAGCCAAACTATCAACCAATATATTATTGAGAAATTTCAGTAATAATAAACATCTAATCTGGGAGATAAAGTAAAATTGCAGTTGACAGCTAAAGTTTATAGTTGATGAAGAGGAGACATGTGGCCAACAAGTGGTAAGCTGACAAGATTAACATAAACCTTCTCATTAACATTCTGCTCAAGGAAAATTAAATTAATCAAATACACAAGAATATTACATTTACAAAATTAAGTATGGTAAACTTCATTTCTTAACCGTTCATAGGTAATCCAGTGATAATGGCAAATTAAGGGGACTGTAAATGATCCAACTTACAGTCCTAGGCTTGATCCTTCTGTTGGGTGCAAAGGTAATATATTTACTCATAATTTATCTAAGGGGTCACGAGGTAGGTCTTGCCCATGATTCACCTGAGGGACCACAGTGATGGGTTATATGGAATAACTCCTCTAGAAAATTAGTTAAAGTGAGGTATACTTGACCAACCAAAATGATTCTGATTTATCATAATATTTTCATTGATTTTTCTTGATATGGGCTTTGCTGGGCCTCAGCCTGTTATGAACAACAGTCAAGGTGTCACAAATAGGTTACAAAGGAAAAGCTCGATATACACGTGTCAGTAGTTGGACGTTAGCCCCACCGTACGCCCCATACAACCTACAGCACGGTTTCAAACCCAAAAAATTGATGGCGCCAAACAGACCTTTATCTGCAAAACATTTTGGAGCCAAATAAAGCAATCTTCTCAATGGGCGGGAAAAACAAAAAACAAAATAATAATACCAAACTATTTAATATTATTTATCAAACGTCTCATCGCTACAGTTTCCCACCTTTCAAAAAAAAAAGGAGCACACAAAGAACTTGATCCCACTTCCCATCACTATCAAAACTATTATTAGTGAGAATTCAATATAGACACCTTAAAAAAAAAAAAAAAAAAAAAACCCAAAAATTTAAAAAAAAAGAAAAAAAAAAAGAGAGAAATGAAATGTTTTCAATCAGATAGAAAATAAAAAGCTTTCTTCATTCTTCTGACAAAATCATCTTCTTCCTCAAGCCTCAAACCTCAAACCCTAGATCTTAGAAACGTAGTCGTTTTGTTTCGGAAATGGGGGATACGGGCACCGTAGAAGATCGGCCTAAGAAGGCTGTGAAACGTAAGAGAGCGTGTTTGGTACTTACCACAGAAGAGAAAGAGAGTCAAATCAAGAGCTTAGACGAAGAACTGCAGGGTCTTTTCCGGTAATACCACGAAATGATTACAAGTCAAAGATTAAGTTTTGATATCACCGCAAGCGGTGGTTCGTTAAACGCATCGGTGGCGGCGTTGATGGAGGAGAGTTCATTACCGTTGTCGAAATTGGTGGAAGAGATTCACATGAAGCTCAAGGAGAATGAAAATGTGGGTTTGACTTCGGCCGCTGTGAAGAGTGCGGTGGTATGTGTTGGACAGAGAGTAATGTATGGAGTTCCAAATGTTGATGCTGATGTATTGGAGGATCATACTCAGGCTTGTCTCTGGTGTTGGGAGGTAATTACTTTGTGAATTTTTTATTTTACTCATTGCTGATTTCATCTATTGTTACCCAATATAATTTGTGATATACTCACTTAGAATTACTAATTTAGCATTGGATTGTTATCTGGTCAATGGTGTAGTAATTAGGGTTCAGCTAAATGAAATTCTGTACTTATTTTGCAGACCAGAGATGTGAAGTTGCTTCCGAATTCTGTGCGTGGGGCATTGAAAATTCGGCGGTTGTGTAGGAAGAAGATTCATGAGAGGATTACTGCTGTTTCTGGTAAATTTTTCTGGATAAGATGCAAATACGGAGACATTTTCTTTTAATGATTCTGAGCAGTCTATATTCTTTTACATAGAAATGTTATAAAATGATCGTCTTTAATGATTATTGATTATTGTGATAGTCAATTAATGATGTTTTTGGTTCATCTCAGCCATGGTAACTGCACTGCAAAAGTCAGAGAGTGATCCTAATGTCATTCACGATCTGATGAAAGCATCTGAAAAGCTTGGTAAATTGTTAAGGGAGGAAGATATACGTATTTTGGTGGATAATATGTTAAAGAAGAGCGATGCGGATATGTATGTATCTGCAATGGCCTTATCATGTTTTGTGTTCAATTTTTTTTTTCTTTCATTGAAGTTTTTATTCATTGTTGCAGGGTTGTGAAAGATGCCAAGCGAGAAGAGAAGTTGATTGCCAAACAATTAGAAAGAAATAAACGGGAAGTTGAGAAAGAGAAAAAGAAAATGGATCGCGAACTACACAAGGAGAAGATGCAAAGTGTAGGTGCAAAAATTTCAATTCTTTTATGTGCTTTTAGTCATGGCCGCTTGTTTTTGATCTGTGATCAATGCTGTGATAATATGTATGTAGATTGATACTGTGATAATATGTTGCTTTGATTGATTCCATTGTGCTCATAAAGATCTATATAGTTACAAGAAATTATGTTTTATTTTAGGTTATGATTTACATCATATGTTGTGTTGGATAATTTAAACATGAAATTTAATGTGTTGCAATAATGATATTTTTTTTAATGCTGTTTCGAACTTCACACTGATAAGGTTTTCTGCTTTGGCATAATATAATTCAGGAAAAGGAGCAAAAACGTTTGCAAGAGGAGGCAGAAAAAGATGAAAGGCGTCGTGAGAAAGAAGAGTGTGAAATTAGGAAACAACAACGAAAGCAACAAGAAGAAGCTGAGAAAGATCAACGGCGTCGAGAGAGGGAAGAAGCTGAATTAAAAAAGCAACTTGCTATCCGAAAGCAGGCCTCAATGATGGAACGCTTTCTTAAAAGAAGTAAAACTACTTCGTCATGCCAGAATGACCAGTCTTCATGTAGAGCAAGTACATTTGATTCATTGAGTAAGAAGAGTGAAAAGGTGGCTGAAGCAGTTACTGTATCAATGGACTATGCTCTCTTATCAAATGCTGAGATTAATGTTGATGATCTTCGCAAGTAGGTTGCCATGTTTGTTTTTGTCTCCTGTTTGTATTTGTTAAATTTCTATTTTAATCTTTGATCCTGAGATTTACTCTATTTCTCAGATCTCACTTATCCTCTTGGCGTCAGTTTGGTCATTCTATTCGCTCAAATGAAAATCAGCATTGGGGAATACGTAGGAAGCCTAAGACGGCATTGTTTAAGGAACTTAAGCTAACTAATAACAGAGGTTTAGGTCGAGATGATGATTTGTGCATGGAGAAGCCTGTAGATCGATGGGGTGAACAAACTATCGAGGATAGATCATTCATTAATACTGCGGATAGTTCTCCTGATGCTAAGAAATGCAACAAGAGAAAGCAATTATTGCAGTTTGATAAGAGTCATAGACCTGCATTCTATGGTATTTGGCCCAAGAAAAGGTAAGCTCTATTTCTTGATCTTTTTATTTGTCTCACATTACTAGTGCAGTCTGTCTTAGAGATGTCTTGTGAAGGTATCTTTTTCTTGTCTTATTCTATGATTGCGATGATTAAATGATGCTTCCTGTTTATTATCCTATTCTATGATCTTTCCACTTTGATGAGTAATTGAAAGTATGCTATGTCTTCATGATGACCAATAGCCTCATTCATAACCAATTTTTTGCTGGCTATAAAAGAAAGCTGAATTGCCATGCTTAGTGAACCAACATTCTTCATGAAGTAAATGCATCTCCACCCTTCTCTCTAGGTTTTTTTTTTTTTCCTCCAAGTCTTCATGTGCCTTATTAAGTAAAACAAAGAAATATTTGTCAAATTTTCCAATGAAGATTAGATTTTTTTTTGGCCATCTACTTTATTTTTTCTCCCTTCTCATGCCTTACCTAGGAAGGAACGTGTCCTATATGCCTGGATGGCAATGAGTAGGATTCTGTAACTGATATATTATTCCATGTTTTCAGCCATGTTGTGGGACCGTGCCACCCTTTAAGGAAGGACCCGGATTTGGATTATGATGTTGATAGTGATGAAGAATGGGAAGAGGTAATGACAGTTTCTCTATCTAAACTTCAAATAAAAACCTATAATTAGGTAGTGATATCCAAATGACATTTTCGTGGTGCAGGAGGATCCAGGGGAAAGCCTCTCTGATTGTGATAAAGATGATGATGAAGAAGGTTCAAAAGTTGAAGACGAAGAGGAAACTGAAGATGGTTTTTTCGTTCCTGATGGTTATCTCTCAGAAGATGAGGTAAGTAATGAAATTTCATTGGGTTGAAGATGCATTATTGTAATTATTGTATTATTTGTATTATTGAATGTGATACTTTAAATTCTGATATAATGATATCCAGGAACGCATTTCAGTAACTTTATTATTGATCCCAATCACTTTGGACTCATATGTCATCCATTATTATTTTGTTTTTGTGGACTCTGCAATATATGTTTGGATAATCCTCTCATCTTTGTTATGACTTCAATGAGTTATAAGCTGCAGATTAACGGCAGACTCTATTGTTTTGGTATTTAGATAACTTTTGGACATATGTGGCCACCAGGGATGTTGAACCCTTAACCTCCCTGTTGAAACTTAAGGTTCTAACCACAGCCAAATCTTTTGGTTTTGTGAACCTTTACATCATCGAGGAATGGTAGCAGTACTAGTTTATTTACTTTTTATAACACTACGTACTTATTTTCAAGCCAATATACACTAATTTTGGGTTTGCCAAACAAAATGAAAATATATCACATGACATTATTCAGATAAAAACTGCATACATTGCTTGAAAATAAGTAGCAATTATTAAAGAGAGTAAGCAAGTGTTTTAGCATTTTGTTTACATCATATTCAAGTTTGTAAATGAATTCACTTTGGGAAAATCTTTAGATTGGTTACTCATCATAAGCACATGCTAAACTCGAAATAAATAGCAAACTGTTGTCCAGTTAGAATTTTGGATACAGAGCATAGAAGAATTTCTGGGTTTGTCACTAGAGACCTCGTGATCATGCAATGAAAGTATGTTTTGGATGCTCACATGGGGCCACACTATTAGGAGTTTAGATACCAAAATTTACCCATCCATACTCTAAAACATCTAAGAAGTACATTTTATTTATCTTCTTTGTCTTTACCATGTAGGGTGTACAAGTTGACAGGATGGAAGTTGATTACTCTGTTGAGGAGACTAAAAGTTCTCCTAGCTGTAAGCAGGAGTTAGAAAATGAAGAATCCTGTGCATTAGTTCGGCAACAGAAATATCTTCACAATTTAACAGAGCATGCTCTTCGGAAAAACCAACCCTTGATTATATTGAATCTGATGCATGAAAAGGCCCCGCTTTTAATGGCTGAAAATCTCAGTGGTACTTCTAAAATGGAGCAGACATGCTTGCAAGCTATGAGCATGCGTGCATTCCCTGATGGTATCCTTGTAGAAATAACTGTTGATAGTATAAGTGATGAGGATCAAGAGGCTTGCTTGTCAAATGTCAAAGGCAGTACAATAACAGTTTCAACTGTGACAACTATACCAGAATCAGATTTGCCTGCAGTTGTAAGTTGCAAAATTATTATTATTATTTTTTATTTATTTATTTTTCTCTGGAGCTAATATAAGAAACATCTCTGAGACCGTGTATAACTTTCTATCTAAAACTATGGAAGTCGTTGATACTATGTTTGTTTGAAGGAACAAAGATATTCTAATGCATCTGTTCCTTGTTCTGATATTAATACCACGGTGATGAGTTGAAGCTAATGTAACCCTTTGATTTTCAGGTCTCTGTTATTAACTCATGCTCAACAGGTATCAATAAGGTTGTGGAGTCTCTACAACAGAAGTTCCCTTCTGTTTCAAAGACTCAATTAAGAAATAAAGTACGTGAGATATCAGATTTTACGGATAATCGTTGGCAGGTTAGTTACTAATTCCATATTTTCATTATTGTTGTAGGAGTTTAATTCCTATGGTGCTCTTATATGGAAAAAATGCACCCATGCATACGTATTAGTTAATTAATGCTATTTGAAATCATTAACATTATTGTCTGTATTTGAATCTATTAATGACTTCTGATTGATGTGGGCCTCCAAGAATATTTGTGCTGGGTTGTGTATTTTGCAACTTTGATTGAGCATACTTTAGGATTTATCATTTACATTCTAGCAAAGCTTTCTTGTGATTTGTATATACATTTGACTTGGACTTGTGAGACATCAATTATACCTTGGGGGCACCGATGTGGAAGGCTTGTGAATTCTTCCTTTTTAGCAATTTTGATTCTAGTTAAGTTTATTTTTTATAATAATACTAGACATACAACATTCTCGTACAACATTATATAACAAAAGATGATTGGGTGAAAGTTTAATTTTAATTTAAAATCAACCAATTATATTTTGTCACATAATATTGTATGAGAAATATTGTATGTGTAGTATTACTTTATTTTTTAGCAAATTTGATTCTAGTTAAGTTTACTTTTTTAAAGTCTTTAGTAATCTTGTGGGGCAGGTCAAGAAGGATATATTGGTGAAGCTTGGCTTGTCAATGTCTCCTGGTATGTGAACCTCATCCGTGTCTTAATTAGGTTGTTCATCATCTGGATATAGATTTAAAAAAAAATAAAATAAAATAAGTCATCTGTTCTCTGATTCGCAGAAAAAAATAGCGGAAGAGGAAAGAGTATTGCCAAATTTTTCTCAAAAAGGTGTTTGCCTCCCGATGGTACAAGTATGAACCCAAATGAAATATCCCCCCTGTCATCTCTGAAACCAGGTTCTGCCACGCCGGAACAGCAGAGTTGCACATATAATCATCTATAGCTTCCCCCTTCTTGTAGTCATGTTTAGTGGTTTTGTTTAATCTTTCCTTTATGGTACAATCTTATGGCATGTATCTAAAACTCCCCAGTGTAAACTTGATAGTAAAAAGTTTTGATTGTGGATAAAGGAATTTAATGAGATGGGGTTTGCCTTATATGAAGGAATTGCTGAAACATAATAAGAGTGGTTTAGCTTTAGTCAAGATAGTTGATATATCTAATGCTTGTGCCAAGTTTAATTAAACCGATAGAATTGTTACTATTTAGGGTATTAAGTACTATCATTGATAAACCAGAACAGAAAAAGAGGGATAAGAGATGATGTGATTGCCAGCATTCATATGATGAACTACCACTTTCAAAAAACACAGTTATAATATGAGCAAACGATATGTTCTCACCCAGAAATTAGTGAAATGGTAAGTTTCCATCTTTCATTTATTATAGATTTATACTCTTAAAGTAATAATGTTAGTGATTGTGAAGTTGTTACATTAATACAAAGGGTGTTATTACTATACTACCTTCTCATCTTCTTTTTCATCTCTAACCACCCAACCATTTTAGATTTAAGGTTAGGGTTTTTAACACAAATCACAATTGACACCATCTTTAGTCTTACAATCATCCCTTTAACAAAACGCTTATCACCTCCAACCCACAACACTCATTGATCGTTGGCGAACACCCATTGCATTTTTGTGCCATTTTTTGGTCGTTTTTTACATCGGAAAACCTCCTCGATGGCGCCAAACGAACCCCCACCCTCCCCTTTACAAAACCCTATCTCCTCTGGCTCCCCCAACTTGTCGTTTGACGCCTGCAATCTGCTTTTGTTGTCGTAGGATAGTTGCATTTTTGTGACCCCAACCATTTGAAAATAGTCGGATTTTTGGTACTGATTTGTTGTATTGCTATTTGAAGTGTTCGGGTTGCGGTTATGTTGTAATTTTCTGGTCACCGACCGTTCCCTCATTACCCACAACCTTGTTGTTCCTCTACGCACAACACCTGTTCGAGTTTTCCCAAACCAGAAAACCAGAACTCCTTTCACCTGTAGCATGCTTTCGTGTGTGCCAAGTGCAAACTAGCATGTGCGACTAACTTGCGATGGCAAAGGGAGGTTAGGGGCGGCAAAATGTAATAACTCTTTCTAGCTAGTATACTTTGAGAAATATAATATGAAATCACTAAATATATCATGGAAAATATAAATGTATTTAAGTACAACATAGTGGGCGCTAAAATTTCTTTACATTAACAAAATAATCATATACATAATCTCAAAATACAGTGGACAGTAGTGTTATTCCCCTCCGCTTCTCGACGTTTTATCCGACCTCTTTCACCTATTTCCTGCAAAAACATTAAAAACAACGGGGTGAGCACTAGTTGCTCAGTAAGTAAATCTGCTATGCTATTCTTCTCTCCGTTGCTTATATTCTGAATTTCTTTCCTTACATCACACTTCTTTTATTCTCTCTGCTTTTTCTCGGTTCTTTCTCTGTTTCTAATCTCTCACTTTTCACTACTCATGATAGTTGGCATGGTATCATGCTTAAGTATGATGCAAATGCACAAATGCATAAGATATGCATTTTCTTTTCTGTTTTCTCTTTTTTTTTTTTTTTCTGTACTTTCTTTTCTTTCTATTCTCTCTTCTCTTTCTATTCTTTTCTTTCTTTCTAATTCTTTTGTTTCTTTCCTTCTTTCTTACTCTTTGCCGATCAGACTCGGTTGAGGTATGAATTTGGAACCCTGGCCGTGTGAGTGACTACAGTCTTCATCTACATGCACTTCTTACGGACTGTACAAATTCTTCTTCTTTTTAGGCCGCTCACTAAAGGCGACGTGCATGTAGGTATATTCTTCTGAGTATAGTCCTCATCCACATTCACTCTTATGGATTGTACAATTCTTCTTCTTATTCTTAGGCCGCTTATTGAAGGTGGCGTGCATGTGGGAATATTCTTCTTCTTATCACTCACGGGTTCCCCATCGCAACAACCTTCTTTTCTCTTATCTTTCTTTTAGAATTTAGTGTTCAATTTCTTTTCTTTTCTTTAGCACTTTTCTTTCTTTCTCTTTATTCTTTAGTGTGCTTATATGCATGTATTCATGTAGATGAACTTTCTTATTATTCTTTCTCAATTCAAATGATTAATTCCAAGAATGCAATATGGCATGTAAACATGTCATTCTCTACTTTCTCTTCCATGTACAAACTCTTCTCAAGATAATACACAAGCATAAGCGTATATGCAATTCACTTTGAAATTTCATCAAACAAGTGGTATGCACAAATAAGCACTAAATTAGCTACACTTCTAGCTTTTTTTCTAGCTACCAAAATTTAGAGCATAATTCTCTAAAACCAACTTCAAACCTGGCTAGGAAAATACACTCCATAACTCTACTCAAATTCTTCCTTAACTCAACCAAACTTCCATCAATTTCTATAAACATAATCATCACTCTTCATGATGGAATTCTAACCATGAATCATCATCAATTCCATCATCAATTCTCAATACTCAAGTATATAAATACATATAAGAAAATTCTCTACTCAAGTATTGCTCAAATCAAAGGCTAGGGTTGGATTTACTTACCTTGAACTTGGGTAGTTCCACAGTAGAATCTCTCTCTTTGGTAGACTTTCTCTTCTTAAACCCTAAACATATAAACTATAAGAATTCAACACTTTAAAAATTAATCTCACATCTTATTGCAAGAATTCTTACCTTTGGATGCTGATGATTGAATATACACCAAAATCCAACCAAAAATCCTCTAAATTGCTTTGGAAATTTGATGAAGAAATTAAGAATTTGGGGATGAAAATGACGTGTGAGAGAGTACAGAATGGTAGGGTTTTCATTCTTGAACCCTTAATATCTCATTTATTACTTATACTTTCCCATTTTGCTCTTGTACTTTCTATGAAATTCCATCTTTGCCCTTTAGTCAATTACAAAAATACCCTCATTTTCATTGCATTTTCCATGAAATTTTTCTACTTTTCACTCCCCACATTTACAACTAATTGTGGGTGGAATGACCATTTTGCCCTTAAGGAAATTTTCTAGAATTTTCTAAAAAATGCTAAAGAGTTCTTTGCCTCAATGAAGCTTTTGCTTCGCCTCGGCGAGACATTCCAGAGCATGCATTGCCGCGGCGAAGATTGCAATTCTAAGAACTCGATTTGGGCATTGTGTACAACGCCACAACGACAAAACTCCTTTGCTGCGATGAAGTCTGCAAATTGTAATTTCTCAATCTTTCACCTTGAAATAAGCAAAACTAAGGGAATTAAAGCATAACTTTGTTATGTATCTCAATGTGGGCATTACACAAACAATGAGTGGAGGGGGTTAAAGTAGAGCTGGGCATTTGGGACCGGGCCCAAAAGCCCAGCTCCAAAAACTGGTCCTAGGACCGGTCCTTGGGAGGACCGGTCCTAGGAGGCCTGGTCCCAAAACGGGACCAGGCCTTAGGAGGAGGGCCCGGGCCCTCCACTGGGCCCTCCTCCAAGGCCCGGGCCTGGGCCCAAATTTTTTTGTATATTTTCAATGTAGTCCCTTGCTAAATTACATAAAACCCCCTGTTAATTTAAATAGATATAAATTACGAGGGTTAAAATGAAATTTTACAAAATTTATTAAAAAAAAAAATCTTCCAGGTCTAAAAAATTTATAAAATTTATAAATTTTACCCCTAAAAAATACTAAAAACCCCCTATAAAATTTCATTTTACACCCAAAATATAAAAAAGTTGAGGGGGGAAATGAAATTGTCCAAGGCCCATGGGACTGGTCCTAGGACCGGTCCTGGGCCCATGGGACCAGTCCCGACCAGGCCTAAGGCCTGGTCCGGGTCCTGGTTTTTCTCATGGGCCTAGGACCGGTCCTAGGCCCATGAGTGACTGGTCCCATTTGGGACCAGTCCCAAACGGGCCCAGGCCTGGGCCCACAAGGGACCGGTCCCTTGCCCAGCTCTAGGTTAAAGGAGGTTGGGGTTTAGAAGGGGAGGATGGAGGTTCGAATGGTGATCGGTTGGCGGTGGCGGCGGCAGTGACAGTGTAATGGGTTGGAAATCATGGGGGGTTTTGGAATGACTATTTATTTTAACCTTTAAACGTTAAGTTAAAAAATTTTCTGTTAAGTTAAAGGTGGGAATCTAGAACAAATGAAACTAGGGTTGGACACTTGCTATAACGCTAATCTTTGGGTGGGAACATGTCGTTTGCTTTTATAATATGGAAAAGCATTCATTTTCAAACATTAAAATTGAGAAGTTGGGACAAAATAGTATTAAAATTGTGTAATAATGATTATGAAAGTAGTCTTTATACTGTTTCCAAAATTAAGCAAGTGTTTATGAGACATTCCAATTGTCAAACAAATTAACAAAGATAATCACCACCACTCATCTTCTCTTTCTCTTCTACTCTTAATTCTACAACCATCAATGTAAGTTTTCTTTTCATGAATAAATAGGTTTCTCCTTGATCCATTTCAACTGCTAAGTTTCTACCTCCCACAAGGTTTCCTCAATTATTGCTAACATCCCCTAACAAACAACAACTTGATGAGAGGTCAATAGTGTAAACAGTGTTTGTGAATATGTTAGGATAATCTTGGTAAATGAAATTATCTCGAGTAATATTACATATATAGATTTTCTATAATAAATTCACTTATATATACTCATGTCTTATAGTCTGATTGGGCAACTTAAAATAAATGATAAATCAAACAAATTAGAATAGACAAACTAAACCCGACAAAGAAGACGGGCCCCGGGTTGATCGATGGGTCAAACCACCTAAAAAAATATTCAAATTTTTTGAGTCGATGCACATTAGCATAGTCACTGTTTCCGGTGCACGTTAGCATGTGTCAACGCCGATCTTCTTTCCCCTTTTTTTGACTATTTTCTCACCCAAAATCACCCCTGTCACCACCATTCGAACCCCCACCCTCTCCTCTTCAAAACCATACCCTTTATCCCTTCTCATCACTCATCGATCGCCAATGATAGAAAACACATTTTTTCGATTGTCTTTTGTTAGATTTTGGCTGTTTTGAGCGACAGAAACTCCAACCACCATCACCATTAGACTCACCGATTATCCCCTACAAAACCCCCATAGCT